AAGTTCAGGCCTCACTGTGGGACTCAAAGAGCGACCGTAAGGTTGCTCGAGAAGCACCACAAAGAGGGGAGGGGGACAAGCGAGGGAGCCGATTGAGCCAAATAGATGGCTCATAGGGCGACTGAGATAGTTCAGATTAATTTGCATCACAGCAAAAGCGCCTCAGCCATTCTAGGCAGGACGCTTGCTACGATGCAAACAGCCATAGCTCTCATCCAAGAACCTTGGTTAGTGGACGGGACTATAAAAGGCCTGGGAGGATGTGGAAAGTTACTCCACGCAAACCCCAAGGAAAACAGGATAAGGGCATGCCTTCTCATCAAAGGGATAGAAGCCACTTTCCTACCACAGCTCAGCAAAGGCGATTTAGCAGTAGCCAGAATCAATGCCTGGACAGGAGGTAATCAAATCTCGGAATGCATCATAGGGTCAGCATACTTACCGTATGACTCCGCACAACCTCCCCCGACACAAGAAGTAGAGGATCTGATAACCAAAGTGAGGGAAGATGGGCTTAAACTCCTACTTGTGTGTGATGCTAACTCCCATCATATAGGATGGGGAAGCTCCAATACCAATGAAAGGGGGGAAGCCCTACATGACTTCATCATGGGTAAAGACCTCATACTTCTAAACAGGGGAAACGAACCAACCTTCATGGACTGTAGAAGACAAGAAGTGTTGGATATAACCATTTGCACAGCAGACATGGTAGACAGTATAGGGAACTGGAGGGTCTCTAAAGAGCCCTCGGGCTCAGACCACAGCCAGATGCGCCTAAGCTTGGAAAGCAAGGCGGATCCTATTCAAAGGAGAAATCCAAAGAACACGAACTGGAAGGGTTACAGAGAGGAGCTCTCACTGAGAATCCAGGACGTGCCCTGCAGATTCGATGATAAAAAAAAGACTGGAATACGCAGCCGAACAATTCGGAGAGGCGGTAAGACGCTCTTTTGAAAGCAATTGCGACCTACGCACCACAAAGGAACCAAGAGGGTTAGCTGGTGGAACAATACACTAGCAGACCTGAGGGACCTNCTGCAGATTCGATGATAAAAAAAGACTGGAATACGCAGCCGAACAATTCGGAGAGGCGGTAAGACGCTCTTTTGAAAGCAATTGCGACCTACGCACCCAGAAAGGAACCAAGAGGGTTAGCTGGTGGAACAATACACTAGCAGACCTAAGGGACCAGCTGAGGAAAGCGTGGAACAAGGTCAAGAATTCCCGGGGAAATACACGGAAGAAACGAGCACTGGAGGAACGTAAGAGCCTCCAGAGAAAGTACAACAAGGCCCTAGTCAAAGCTAGGGACGAAGGATGGAAGAAGTTCAGCAGTGGAATCAGTGGCCTGTCCAAGGCCTCCAGACTGGTAAACGTCTTGGGAGGACAGGGAAGTGCCAACCTGGGCTGCTTAATGAAGCCCGACGGCAACTACACCTGGTCCTCGGAGGAGACACTGGAACTATTGCTGGAAGAACACTTCCCTGGCTTCACCAGGCAGGAAAGCACACCACTAGCTCCTGTGGAAACAGGAAGCCAATACAAACCACGAGACTGGGTTCTAGCAGCCAAAATCGTGTATCCTCAGGGGGTCGAATGGGCAATTAATTCCTTCGAACCCCAAAAGGCACCAGGACCAGATGGCATCTACCCAATGCTCTTGCAAAAGGGGATGGACATCATCCTGGGACCACTCACAAGGATACTCAGAGCCAGCGTGGCTCTGAGGACCGTACCACAGGTCTGGGGAGAAGCGAGAATCGTTTTCCTACCTAAGCCCGGGAAAAACGGCCATGTCAAGCCAAGAGATTTTCGACCCATCAGTTTGACCTCCTTTGTCCTCAAGACACTGGAAAGACTGATGGACAGATACATAAAAAGCTCATTGCTAATAGACCGCCCCCTGTCCTCGTCGCAGTATGCCTACAGGGAAGGGAGGTTCACTGAGACCACCTTGCACCACCTCGCGGCAAAAGTGGAGGAGGAAATAGGAGAGCAGGGCTATGCAATGGGGATTTTTCTCGACATCGAAGGAGCCTTCGATCGCACCAGATACGATGTTATCATGAAAGCCATGTCAAAGAGGGGCTACCCACAGACCATCATTGACTGGACACAAAGCATGTTAGCGAGCAGGTCTCTGACCGCGGCTCACAATGAAGCAACAGTAGAAGGCCGCCCCATAGGAGGATGCCCGCAAGGAGGGGTTTTGTCCCCACTCTTGTGGTGCCTAGTGGTAGACGAACTTCTAGAAAAGCTGAGAGAACAAGGCCTTCTGACATATGGCTACGCGGACGATGTGGCCATTATAGTCAGAGGGAAATTCCTCAACGCACTCAGAGATAGGTTGAACTATTCTCTGAAAACGCTGGAAAATTGGTGTGGTGAAACGAAACTATCAGTTAACCCTGAAAAGACGTCTGCCATGATATTTACCAGGAAATACAAGGTGGTGACCCCTAAACCACTCAGGCTGGGTGGAGCAGAAATAGCATACGCCACCTCGGTGAGGTATCTAGGGGTTCAACTCGATCGAAAGCTCCACTGGAAGGAGCACATCAAGACACAGATGAGCAAGACCTATGCCTCTCTGTGGGCATGTAGGAGGGCCATGGGAAGAAATTGGGGCTTTAATCCCAAAATCAGCATATGGCTCTATGAGATGGTCTTGTTGCCGCGACTTATGTACGCAGCAGTGATCTGGTGGCCCAGGGCGGAAAAGACGACGGTAAGGAACCAGCTCAAGGCCCTACAGGGTAACTTCCTGAGAGCGGCGACGGGGGCCATGAAAACCACGCCTACGGACGCACTGGAAGTCGCTCTCGACCTACCACCACTAGACCTCCTAGTGGTGGGTAAGGCAGAGTCAGCGGCTTACAGGCTCAAGTGTCAAGGGGAGTGGATCCCAGCTAGGGCGGCTCACGCCAGGCTCGGCATCTTGAGAAACTCCACCTTGAATAGAGAACAGGACAGGATTACCAAGAAGTATCAAATCAGGAAGGCCTTTCGGACCTACATCCCTGAGAGAGAAAACTGGAAAACTGTGAACAGAACACCAGGTAGCAACGTCATGCACTGGTATACGGACGGCTCAGGGTACAAAGACCGCTTTGGAGCGGGGCTATATGGGCCGGCAGAGCACTATGAAAGCAGTTGGTCCCTTGGGATCTACGCCACAGTGTTTCAAGCAGAGGTTCTGGCAATCAAGAAGTGCACAGAATTTCTGGTAAATCGGCCGACACAGAACAAATATATATATATATTTGGTCAGACAGTCAAGCCGCCATTAAAGCACTCGCGAAATCTACCACCGACTCTAGGTTAGTCTGGGAGACGATGGGAGAGCTAGAAAAGCTGGGAAAACAAAACAGGGTAACCCTGGCTTGGGTTCCAGGACATGAAGGTATCCCTGGCAATGAGAAGGCGGACGAACTGGCGAAGCAAGGATCGCTAAGCGATACCGAAGCGGAACCGATAGGAGTCCCCCTAGCCACGGGAAATAAAATCATCAAGGACAAGATTCGACGGGAACACAACAACCGTTGGAAGAACACAAAGAGCTGCAGGAAAGCCAGGGCAATGATGCCCGGTCTGAATAGCAAGAAAGCTCGACAGCTACTTGACATGGACAGGAAGAGCTTGAGCACTGTGATCAGGCTCCTCTCAGGACATGGCAGGTTCAAAGCTCATTGCACAATCATGGGCATCGGGGAAGATGCCCTGTGCAGATTCTGTAATGAAGAAAAAGAGGACAGTCTACACATAGTGTGTTACTGTCCAGCGCTAGCCGTGACAAGATTACGCTGCTGGGGGATTGCTTTCCCCACGTGTGATCAAATCAAGGATAGGAGTGCTTTGGATCTTCTACGACTGGCCGTCAAGGCTGGGCTCGAAATTTGATCCGAAGTAAACTCAAGCGGAGCTACAATAACTCTTTAAGAGTTCGGTGGCTATAGGATGGCTAATCCATCCATCCGCATGCGAAACTAACTAACTAACTATTCCCTAATATTGCCTGAATTTTGAATCCAAATGGGAAACATTTTGTTGTTCAGCGATTGGTTTTCTGCAGGAAAACAATAGAAACCCCTCCGCCTCACCTCCTACATTTCCTCCTCGCCCGATTATCCTTAATAGAGGAAATTTCAATGAACAAAATAAATTACATTTCGTTCACACCAAAGGAGAATTATGGTTTCACAAAATAATTGTATTCAAAATTTCCAAGTATATAATTTTCTCTCTTCTTGCATATAACAGTGAATTCTGAAATGTAATTTTCTTTTTATTTCAGTGAAAATTTTACGTGGATATTTTCATGTGTCTTGAGTGAATAAATTAGAAGTTTTCTCAAATTTTTGGTAATTTTTTAGTTGAAACTGGCATCACTCACTTATAACCCTTACTTATTGTAGAATAAACTATTCTCAATGCAGTGCAAAGTATTTGAAATACTTATGAGCGAGTGTCAGCATATCAATAATTGATGACGATCCGCCGCGCCTTGTAACGACTAAACCTGTACATATTTATCTTACCATTGATAGATAATAATATGAAGCTTTCAATTCCGCATTAATTTGTTGATTCAAGGCCGCTTCAGTTTCAGGGTGAAATCGATATTGAATTTTCTTCATTGGAATTTTATTTTCTCCTTGACCAGTGCAATCTGTTTGTGATTTGGAACTGGACGGGGGTTCCCTCAATCTTTTGTATTGTTCTGAATGAAACCGTCTCTCAGGTATTCCATATTGTTTACTCATTTTCTTTTTCATTTTACATTTCTTATCCTCATTGTCTACTGACAAAACGGAGCTAGCGGAATGATGTAAATATTTTGAGACCATGGAGAAATAAATTGGAGACACAAAGATTTTTCTGTAACTTCTTATCATTTTCAGGAAAGTTTTTACGTATTTATCTGATGATGAAATTTTACTGAGGAGGAAATGTTTGACAGGTACAGATGATTGATGTGAAGCTTGCTCCAATTTAAATTGATTCAAAGGAACATATTTATTCAATTTCATAAGCCTTAAGCATTTACTTGACTATCCTTATTAATACATTTTTATCTTTTCAATATCAATATAAATTAAAACAATATGACGTTATGCACTTCAGGGTCTTTCGAACTCCGGTGGCTTTTTATTTATTGGTAGAAATAGAGAATTCTCATTGAGCTACGAGGATTTAAAAAAAAAACTGCATGAGTAGCTAATCCGTAAACGGTAATAAGTCAGATTCGACATGTTTGGAATTTGCGCATTCATCTCCAAATGAAATTATTTTGAAAGAAAGTATCGCAACATCATCTTCAAAATAACTTCTGAATGTCTTTTTACATATTTTCCTGATATAAATCATTATCAAGATAATCTAATATACACCAGGAAAATATACGGCTTAATACCTCTCACCACTTTACTACTCTATTGAAACATGTAAAGCGTACTCTGAACGTTTTTTTGCAGTGGAAAGATTTTGCATCGGGTGATACGAGAAATAATTGTTGTTATCTCACTTGTCACTGTAACAACGCATTTTCAATATACCTTACAGATTTCGGAGTATGATTTGTGCTTATAATTCAGCGATAGAAAAATGTATTTAACTGCTTTTTGCCAAGTTTTTATCGAACATATAAACTCCAAGACCTTCTCCAACTCTTTCTAGATTGGTTACATGATCTGCAATCTCTTTTATGGCATCTACTTGCTCCTGTAAGAACTCAGTCTCCAAGAAGTCCAGGAAATTTGGGTCATTGTGAGTTCCACCGAGAGCATGCAGTTCAAGAAGAGACTGAAAAAAAATTGATGTGAAGTAAAAATTTTCAGTTCCGAAATAATTCGTTTGATATTTCATTGGTAATAATTTGAAAGAATCAAATGAATTGGAAGGTAGGCTGTCGTAAAAATGAACATATTCCCCCAAATTTCTGTATTACTTTTTTACATTTTTCTTTCAATCAATCACAATGCAATATTCGAGATCTTCTTTTCCATCCAAAACTTGGATTTTATTATTCGACATCAGATGTTATTTGTAGGAAAAATAATTTAGAAATAAGGTAAAGACTCATTAAATCACTCCCTATTTAAAAATATAAAGAATGGACTTTCGTCCGTATATCGTGCATTCCCACGTTCCAGGGCGAGAGCACTCAAACGAGTTAATTAATTATATTACTGATCGCTAAATTGTTTGCTTGATATCATATCTTTGTACTTACAACCAGAATCTACAATATTCGGACGAATGTCCATTCTTTCAATTGTTTAATAGGGAATGATTTAATGAATCTTTACTTTATTTAAATTATTCTTCTTACAATAAATTATTTTGCCTGTAATAATTTTGACCAATGGATGCCTTCGAGAAAAGTACACGGCATGACAACCGATTATTTTTATATATATTTTGTATTATTTAGTTAAAAGCTTTAATCTTTTCAGATATTTCGATATCTGTGGATAGAAGAATAAGCACCTGAAATAGGGTAGTTCCTACACGTACGGTTACTCATTCATAAATATATCCGGAGCTAATCAACCAATTTAAAAAATGAAATATCAGTTATTCATCAGGACAAGGAACAACTTTTGTTTGGAAAATAATCAATATGCTATTGCTACATGGAGAGAAAAAGACATGACAATCCCAAGCGAGCCCCTCAAAAATTGGTGTGCTACCCACTAGCCGTGGGACTAACCAGGGGTCACCAAAAAGTTCGGATGGTCCACCGAAAAATTTAAATGTGACACATTAATTTTTGAAGATCTTGCCCATGTAAAAAATTAACAAAATTTAAAATTTAACCTGAGTCTCGGAGGGAGCTCACACTTCCTTTTTCCCCGAAAAAATTAACATCAGAAACCATTAGGGCATCCTGCAAATGACGACAACATCTCTAATTCCGTTTTAAATCTGTTTGGAGAAGACCTGAGGCAAGAAGAGGAGACGCCGAAAAAATCTCTTGGGGTCACATGAAGAGGACCCTAATCTAGTGCATGACATACACCTGATCACGAGTCTCCACAGTGAGTGGTGAACATCGGGGCAAATCACCCCAAATAGGAATCCCGAGGAGCACCGAAAATGAAATAATAATAATTCAAATTCGATCACTCTCAATGCCCGAAGTTTAGAGTCAATGTTCGTGCTGAGGCAATTCAAGATTAGAAAGGGGAACGATAACCCCCACCCCTTGATTTTTCACGATTTTGCGGAAACTAGGTCTACATGCGAAAAACCGAGACTCCGCAGTCCTTCCTGAGGCCTCGTAACAGAAGTTATCGCAGGAGCAGATTTTATAACACATTTAATAGTTAGAGATTTTTTATTAACAGTAATAGGATTGATGTTGTGAAGTGAAACATTTTGAGTAATAGAGTTAGAGTTATATTTTTGGACTTGCTGGAAATGAGACGCCTTCCTGGACGACCCTGAACGTTAACTTGCGGGCTGAGTGAGATAAGTACCAGTGATACAGTCAAATGTATGGTTTTCCTCGGTCTCAAATCATTTTGAGGGGGAATCTGCCCCACATTGGTAATTTCAATAATTATTCTTGTGTTATTACTAGAAGCATATTCCTGATTATTTGTCATCACAGGGTCATCTTGACTCTCCAAAACTTTGGCGTGTTTACTCTTATTCATTTGTACTAAATCAAACGCAATAATTTTTTAATTTTGAAAAATTCTATATTCTAATTTTGGTTAGACAATATAATTGAGTTTTTGGAGCATTAAATTTGAGTATTGTGTTTGATTCTGTGGACATTTCCAGGCATTTGGAGTAGCGTCCTCCTGTCCCCTTGTTGATAAGAGTTCAGGTGAAGGTAATTAGATATTGTCGAGTTCAATTTCAAGGTCATCGTGATTTTGTCTATTTTTTCACACGATAAAATAAAATTGACTGGCGCCTAGGGAAGTGTGGGCGTCTACATTTGTCTATACGGTTGTCCCCCAGAACAACTGATAGGAAAAAATCTTTATGGTATTTGTCAGCATCTTGTTCTAGAACTCCTATTGGCCCCAATTTAGTACGAAAATATAAATGCATTGAGATTACTTTTGCGAACAGCTGCCACGATCTAATTTATGAGAAAAAAAAATCAATTGGAGGAGCTGGGATTTGAACCCAGGACTTTCCGCATGCGAAGCGGACACTCTACCACTGAGTTACACCCCCACTAAGGTATAGCCCCCTCTAACATCATCAAGTGCACCGCCCATGAAGTGTCAATCATTAGCAGATTAAAGTCAATGCATTTTTTTTTTTATTATTCGAGTTGATTGTTGGTTGAATGGCGGTCAACGGTAGTCCTCTATCAATAACCTGTTGCTGCCAAGTATTCAAATTTTATGGATCACAATTCTCTAAAGTTGATCAAAATTGTTAAGTTCGTCATTTTTAACGGCTACTAATCACTGCCACATCGTTTTAAACATGATATGAAATATCAGAAGTGATGAAAAAGAATGCTAGCTGTCAAAAATCTAAAACTCCACTGACGATGATTTCATATTTAGTCTATCCTGTTTGTTTTCATACCGAACGATATTAAGGTGCGCACATAAACAGTGTAGATTTAAGGAGTCCTATGACATCTATATAAAGCATGACCAATTAGTAAATCGAACAATAAGTAATAAGATATTTCGATTGACCTACCGCATTGACAGCTTTCTCAAGTTTCAAAGCCTCATTCATAGCATCTTTAGCAGATCCCCAGGTTCGCAAAACTGGCGCCTTGATGTCCGTCAATACAATTGACCCGCCTCTTTTATTTTGATAAGTCATGAATTTCATAGCATGTTCCCGTTCCTCATCTGATGCTTTTTTGAAATAATGATGCATCCCTGGCAAAGCAATGTCACACCTGTCAAAATAATACGACTGGAAAAAAAGTGAATCAAATTCAAATAGAAATCTGACGTAATGGTCGTGAGTACATATGTAAATATTCAATCGATACCATTATGACTTACCATAGACAGGTACACATAACTCGCATACAATTCCATATTTATCTGTTTGTTAATTCCATCCTCACATTCAGAACTGAAATTTTGCTTAGCGAGACTCATTGTCGTTGTTACGATTAATAAACGTTCTCGTGTTAATCTTTCTGCAGTGGAGTAAGCATGTACTTGACACCTTGCCGTTTCACTACGCACTGATGCTCAAGGTGTGCAATCCTCGGGGTTATTCGCCAAGTAACCGACCTGCGCTGTGGAAGCACTCAACAAATGATAAAAACAATTCCAAAAGTCCATCCGTATCGAAATGATTGTTATCAAAATTCCTGGAATATTATATTTAAAATAATAAATAACGAGAAATAATAATTTTCCTTGTTCTTGCATCATATTATGAAATTATTATCGGTATTGATATCGAAAGAAGCGAGAAAAATATTGCATGTGGATGATTTATTTTTATGACAAACTGAAAACAAGCAATGTGATATAAAACATGCGACTCTTAGTCTACGCGTTATCTTTTTTTCATTCCTTTTCATTTCTACTAAGCGCATTAGTAATAAGCTTTCCAATTAACCCCAAGCTACTTTCTCATGATGTGTAGAGCGCGACAATGAATCTAGGAAAAAACAGATTTTGGAAAAAAAGACGCTGAAAAAAGGACATGAACCGCGAGAAAAAATTAATAGAATGAAGACCCTCGAAGCGAAAAATCAGAACTCATCAGAACTCTTAGAGATTAAAGCTCAGAGTAAATAAAAAAGATGAAGAGTTTAAGTGACGTTTTTTATTGTCGTTGACATTACGAACATAGCAAAACTCATTTAGTAATAATCATGTATTAAGTGTCACAGTTTTCTCCCGCCATGTTTCCTCCAACAATAAATACCGAACTCCAATTCAACTCTACCAATTATTTAAATTCAGATCTTTGTAAGGTTTGGATCCCTCAACCGCTGATGGATCCAAAAAGGCAGTGTCTATTCACACGGTCCACGGTAAATTTTACCGTGGATATATGGTATATTTTACCGTGGATATATGGTAATTTCTACCGTGGATATAAGGCAAACAGTGGGGTACATTAGGCCCATTTTTTTACCGTGGATAAAAGGTAATTCTTACCGTGGATATAAGATAAAGCAGTGGTGTGCATCGGGCCCATTTTTACCGTGGATATAGGGAAGATTTTCACCGTGGATATAAAGTAATTTTTTTTTACCGTGCATATAAGGTGAGTGAATGGCGTGCAGTGTTTCCACTTTTTACCGTGGAAGATGGTTTTAAAGATGACAAATGTCTCTAAAGATGATGTCTGTTTTCAACTGAAAAGCGCAATTGTGACAACATTGTCCAGTGGGGTCTAGGAGTCTCCCCTGGTTCAAATCCATCTTTAGAGGCATCAGCACACCATTTTTCGAGCCGCTCTTTCATTTGAGCCCAAAAAAACATTCATATCTTGTCCCCCATCTCTGCTACAAACTCTGGTCTTCAACTTTGGTTTTAATTGAAAACAACTCTAGTCTTCAACCTGGTTTTAATTGAAAGCCCGAGTTGAAGACCCGAGTTTGTAGCAACGATGTCAGACAAGATATGAATGTTTTTTTGGGCTGAAATGAAAGAGCGGGTCGAGAAATGGCGTGCTAGGGCTTCTATCGATGGTTTTGAACCAGGGGAGATTCCTAGACCCCACTGGACGATGTTGTCACAATTGCGCTTTTCAGTTGAAAACAGACATCATCTTTAGAGACATTTGTCATCTTTAAAGGCTTCTCCCCGCCATTTTTCGAGCCGCTCTTTCATTTGAGCAAAAAAAAACATTGGTAGTGTCCATTCACACGGTCCACGGTAAATTTTACCGTCGATATAGGGTATATTTTATAGAGTTTATTTTATTAAAAATCTACGTCAACAAATGCCAAGAAAAATATGAAAAAATTCAAGATTAATCTCAATGACTCAAGTTTGGGGTAAAGCTAACGAGCTTGATCAAAAATTTTCTAGTCAGATTATATATTGAAAAAACAGCAATTTTTTTAGTTTATCAACAAATAATAAGTTAAATATGAAAGTTGAGTGAAAAGGTCAAAAGAGTGAAAATGGAGAGGAGAGAACGAGAAAAAATCACCTTTTGTTCTTATTCCAATAAGATAACTGGATCAAAAGTTATGTTATGGCAAATTTTGGTTGAAAAATGAAAAAAAAAGAAAAAATGGGGACTGCTGAAAAATTGAAAAATGTTTTTTAAAAAATTTCCTCTCCTGAAGACATTCTATGAAGAATTATTTGCATTTTGCAACTAAAATGGACTTTTCGGCGTTGGCGGCGAATCAGCTTTTTCGTAGTTCAACTTTGAGCGCGCTTGGCGACTTGACGGTTTAAATTGCGAAAATGCCGCCATTGACTTTTTTGTAGGAAATTTTATGCTCTACAAATTAAGCCTTATGCATTTTTATCCTATCACGGCTTCGTCGGCGTAAAACAAAAAAGGTCGCGTGGACGCTTAATTTTTCAGTTTTGAATTTTTTCAAACAATTTCCCGGTTTGCTACAATCCCAAAAAACTCAGTATGTATTTCATATCATTTTTCCGCATGATATCTCATGGTTTTTATCCTTCTTCTATCATCCTCTATTTCGGCAAAAAAAAAGTCCTTATTTGATTGGCCTACTAACTTTATTCGTCTCTCGTTTAACCCTAGTCGTCACCCCCCTGATCTTTGAAATTTTAAAGGCTCTAACCCATAATACAACTAGATCCGCGAGATAATTTCCCTACGCGATGCTTACCACTGATCTCCCTTATATGCACGGTAGCCATCACCGTGTATATAATAGATCCACGGTAAAATCTCCCTTGCATCCACGGTAAAAAGTGGAAACACTGCACGCCATTCACTCACCTTATATGCACGGTAAAAAAAAATTACTTTATATCCATGGTGAAAATCTTCCCTATATCCACGGTAAAAATGGGCCCGATGCACACCACTGCTTTATCTTATATCCACGGTAAGAATTACCTTTTATCCACGGTATAAAAAATGGGCCTAACGTACCCCACTGCTTGCCTTATATCCACGGTAGAAATTACCATATATCCACGGTAAAATATACCCTATATCAACGGTAAAATTTACCGTGGACCGTGTGAATAGACACTGCCATCCAAGAAACTTAGCAATACTTAACTACCGATTCACGAGTTGACCCCCATATGGCTCCAGTATGACTCATATGACACCCATACGACTCCTCATGACCCTCATATGATAACCATATATGACCCGCCAATGATCCCAATATGACCCTTATATGACCTTCTTATGATCCCCATATGAAAAAAACAGCGGCTTTTTTTCCGCGTCTGTTTTTTTCACCAACCCTTTCATTTATGTATCTCATTGATTTTTTACTTATTCTTTCTACACCTCATAAGTGTGTTCACGTTTATATGTGCATATGAATGATTTCTACCATTTTTCCAGGAATTTTGACATCCCCATATGGCGGCAGTATTGACCATGGCCAGAGACAAGTTGGGTCAGAGTCGGAATGTACACATCCATTTGTGCAAACGCGTTATCTCCACATAAGAAGGCAGGACTCTGCTTTAAACTCCACACGCGGCAGAAAGAGATCTACACATCACGAAACTACACATGGTAAATTGCCCTGTGTAGACTCCACAACCATGTAGTTTCAGCAACACATTAAAGTTGTGTGGAGTTTCTTTTTTTTTTAAGGAAAATAGTAAATGGAATATCCCATTTACTATTTATAGAATATTCCATTTACTATATTCCTTTTAAAAAAAAAAAGAAACTCCACACAACTTTAATGTGTTGCTGAAACTACACGGTTGTGGAGTTCACACAGGGCAATTTACCATGTGTAGTTTCGTGATGTGTAGATCTCTTTCTGCCGCATGTGGAGTTTAAGGGGTAACGGAACCCGTCGCACGTAGAGGTTAGGGGTCCCCCCTATCGGTATTGCAGTTGCCGTTGTTTTTTTCATTTTCTATGTGAAAAGTACAAAAGCCCATAAAATATAAAGAAATAATAATGGTATGGAAACATTCTACATCATCTTCTGACTCATAAAAGTACTTCCCCCTTACAAGTGGTGCCCTACAGCGACATGTTACCTGCTGGATACCACCCAATCATCATAAACAAGTTTTTACGAAAATTCCGCAACAAAAATACGTTTTTGTACTCAAAATCTCTGTCTTGGACCTCACTCGATCACTCTCTTCTTATAAAAATGGCCATCGGCTAAGAAAAATCTACAAAAAATCCATTTTTCTACCATGACTTGGCAGATTCCTACAAATAAAATGGCGTTGGCCTTGCCCTGGTCCTTGCCGTTAAATAATTTGTAATTTTTTTTTGCATAAATAAGAAAGGTATGACAAGAGAGAGATACGTTCCGCTACTTTCAATACGGGGAAAAAGTTTCATTGATTCTCAATGCATAGAATCCAAGAAAACTTGTTTTTGGTAAACGTCTCTTTTTGTGGTCGGTTCCGTTAGCACTTAAAGCAGAGTCCTGCCCTCTTGTGGAGGGGTTGAGGCAAATAGAATTGACTAAAGTAGAGGCTCAGATCTCGGGCAGAGATAATAGGGGAGATTGCTCAGGCTTATGGGAACTGTTCGATCAGAGTTCCATAGCGGTGGCGCGCATGAACTAATCGAGAGGCCGTCTCTGTGGGTAAAGAAATTTTCATCTATTACCATGGACACAGTCGATAACAGGGATGCGTTCCCAATCTTAAATCCAACATGAAACCTCCTTTGCATTCACTCATCCGCTTGATTATCCCATTTTCGTTCATACAACTTCTTATTGTCTTAATTTGTAAATTAGTTGATCATAAAGGAGAGGGAGAGAAGGAATTATGAAGTCTTGAGCGAAAGAGGATCATTTATTTGAATTTCTATACAACTAGATCTTTAAT